AGTGAAGTGACCTCAGATGAGGAGAATTGATACATATGTATTGTAATTAACTGAGGAGTTAAGTTGAATTTAACTTTTCAAGCAGGTGGCAACCTCCTACATGCAGTTAAAAAAATTTCGATTATAATCATTCATTTAACTTATTCAGAAATTTGAGTTATTTGACCTTAATTTTCCAGCAGGTCGCAACTTTTTTCAAAAAACTAATGGTCTCATTCATACAAAAACAAAATAGGTTTAAAGAGCTTTATAAAGTAACATTTTCATACAAATTTTCGATTTACAACGCAGCTAAAGTGTTCTTTATTTTTTATGAATTTGGGTGTAAAACTATATTGCACATCTACATATAAGACAAGCAATTTGACAGTTCATTTTTGAAAATCGACCGAACAATACAAATATCTCCGCAATCGCGTTCCACTAAAAAAAAAAATACGGGTGTCCTTATTTTCCATTTTCTATAATTTTTGAAAGGTGACAGCAAGAAAATTCCAACAACCTAATTTTCCTGTGTATTTTTGGACCATCCAAATGTACATCATTTACTAACAACAGCTACATAACATATTTTGGGTATATGTTATTAAGTGAAATTTTCAAATAATTATGGCCTTATAGTCGATTTCCACCAAGCCTTAACTGCAGTTTATGCCTATTGGAAAAAGGGCGATTACAACTCGAAGGGGGTAATTCCACCTATTAAGTACAAGCAAACGAAAAGAAAAAAGCAAAAATTAAGAAATAAACCTTGCCGTTCACCACATGTTAAAATTCTTGGAACTCAACTGAGCTCTTAACTGCAGTTAAGCCTTTGGTGGAAATAGGCTATTATTCATAAAAAATAGAGTAGCGTTAGAAAAGGTTTATAAACTGAAAAATGTATGAAAACGTCGTTTTATAGAGATCTTTAAACCCACTTTATTTTTTATGAATAAGGCCATTAATTTTTACTTAAGAAATGCAAAAGTTTTGTTTTGTCTCGCAAGTACACACGTCACACACAATTTTTGTTTTGAAAATATCAATTATGCATACTAAATATGTACCAATCTAAAAGCCCCCAGAAAGAAAAATATGAGCCAAAACTTATTGTCAAAAATTAGAACTATCATACTTAAGTCGATATATATGTATGTACATACCCTGCAGGAAATGGTGCTAGTTTGTAGCTAACTTTTAGTACCCAGCAGTTGGCAAGATCTAACGCCAGTCTCCATGCTCTTTCCTTAAGAAAATTTACTCCGGGGAAGGATTGGAAAGAAATTTTGTATCTGGGAGCAAGCTAAGTAACTCCTCGATACTCATAGTGTAGGGTACCTACATATCTACAAATTTCCTGTGTGCAAACATATGCATCTACGAATAAAATATTTATTGACAATTTCGAAGTACAGAATGTTGTCATATTTGTAGACAATTATACTAAGATAAGATATCCTTCATCATTGTTTTAGGGGTGGGCACTTTAGAAACTGAATTCCTCACAATCAAAATTTTAGCAAATAATAAACGCTAAAAAAGATTATTAAAATAAATATAAATCAAAGTTACAAAAGCATGTTTGATAACGAAAAGTGTATCAAAACATTTTGTGAAATTTAATTTAATTCTCGGATACATCTTGCAATAGGGCATTATTCAACCAGATACTGAGATAGTGTGTTTTTTCAATAAAATTCTGAAAAAGGGCGTTCTTCGATCAAATTCTGAAGTAGGGCGTTCTTGAAAAAATTTTTGAGATAGGGCGTTTTCGAACTGGCTGCCGAGATAGGTCGATCTTCCACTCAATCATCGATATAGTATGTAAGTATATTTAAATATTTGTTGAGTCATTCACAAATGCCTTTTTTAATTTTATTGACGACATTGGCGCCGAAATGAAAGCAATATTATACTCTTTATTCTTTTTTCGGATTGTAATTTTTTCTATTTTTAGTTTGGTTTGTCGCTGAGACTATCTTTTCGTCGACACATTGTTAAAGTATTTAAGTACCAGTAATGCTTATCTTATCAAAACTTTATTAATTAATATACATAGCTACACATATGTACTTGTGGGTATTTATGCATTACATTAGACCGGGCCGGCCTCCATACAAAAGGAAAAAATTTGAAAGTATGTACTTACATATCGCTCATTTACTTCAATAGTATCATAACTTAAAAAACAGAAAACGAAACTCGAGAAAAACAAATAAATTTTGGTCCTGATGGGAGATGGTTGAGGAGTGTCGCACAGGGTGCAAAGTTTAGACTCCTCTATGGAGACTAAAAAAATTTAAATTAACTTTTTTTCATCATAGTCGAAGATGTCACATATAAATCCTGGTCCCGATTGAAGTCGATTAAGGCTTGTCACAGGGGTCAAAGTTCAGATAACCCATAGAATACGTCTTTACCGACTTCAATGGGGACCAAAATTTATATGTGATATCTGTGACCGTAGTGTTACCGATTGAGGGGGTGCGACTGAAAAAATCATTCCTTTGGTTTTAAGTACCATCCTAATGTACATACTCACACACATAAGTGTTTATGTCCAGATGTGTCTTATTCTATGTGTTCCGTAGTTGATTGTTCGTTCTTCGTATTATTTTAATTTCGTTTCGAATGAATTATTTAGTATATGTATGTACATATGTATGTATCTATGCATTCAAGTACCTCTGTACTTCTATATAAACCCGAATCGGTGTATTTTTGCAACATGAAACGCGAAACATATATATATTTTTTGGCAACCATAACATTATCAATCGATAATAGATTTTGTTCGTCCAAATTTATAACATATACATATACATAAGTACATATGTAAATACACACATACACACGTACATAAATGTATAATAATAATATTTTGAAATACTCAGTTAATTTATTCAAACACAGACATATGTACATACATATTCATATTTTACAATATAACTATTTCATCCATTTCAGCGTATTGTAAAATTTCATAAACATTCATCTTTTGTTTTGTGAACAACATGAGCGCTCGCCCTCATTCAATTAGTGCTAAATGTTATTTTGGTACAACATCAGTATTTTCCAAGAAATTTCTTATCGTTGCGCAGAATTAAAAACATTACAAAAACACATAACGATGTATGCTTAAAAAAAAAAAAAGAAATTGGCGCATTTTAACACACATATGTATGTACAGTGGTCGAAATAATTATAGCCGCACCACATTTTGACAGGTTTTAACATATTATTTGTGTTGTTATTTAATTTTGGTTATTTTTTTATAAAGATATAGTTCATCCTTTAAAAAACTCTTGTAAATCCAAGTGCACAACTATTAAAAAAAAATTAAAAAACTTTCGTAAAATTTGTAACTGTTTAGTTAGATTTCCTAGAAAGATTCTGATATGCAGTTTTGTAGCCCATAGAATTCTAGTGGAACAAGTTCAAATGGCTAAAAATTACGGTTGAATTTTTAGATTATTTTTTTGTCCGGGATGTTTCGGTTTTCTTCCATAAAAAAATAAATTGTTGTTTGTATTCTTTATATGGAAGCTAATGGGTAAAAAAAATCTAAAAAATCAACCGTAATTTTTAGCCATTTGAACTAGTTCTACTACTTCTCAATGGGCTACGTAACTGCGTATCAGAATCTTGCTAGGAAATCTTATTAAAAAAGTTAGAAATTTTACGAAAGTTTGTTGATTTTATTGTAATATTGCACAAAGTTTGAAACTTGGATTTACACGGGTTTTGGTTAAAGAATGAACTATATTTTTATAAAAAGATAACCAAAATTAAATAACAACAAAAATAATATGTTTTAACTTGTCAAAATTTGGTGCGGCTATAATTATTTCGACTACTGTAAGCATGTACAAATAAATATAAAAATATACGCAACCATAAAGCTTTGATATCTGTTTGTATGTATGTATGTATGGAAGCATTCCAAATGCGAAGTTAATTAGAAAAAGGCATCTAACTAGCAGATATGTATATATGTATGTGTATAATTATGTAAGTATGCACATCCATATGTGTATAATTATCTTCATAAGTACATATCGTTGTTATCAATTAAAAGCTCTCAGATACTAGCCATACCGAAATTCAAAGAAATATGCCTTTATATGTATGTATTTATGTAAATCGGTGTCTTTAGAACCATATCGAAATCATTTTCCTCTAAAACCGTTAGTCCTATGAAACAAGTAGCGAATTTTTTTACAAGTATTTATTGCAACCCTTCATTTTGTTTGACATGAATCACAGGGGACCTTATTTACTGGCATTAGTTCAGTAAGTTAGGGTGGTAGGAACTGAGATCTGGTGGGTAACTACTAGAAAAGGGTACTTGAGGTCAACTTTGCAAGAAAAATCTCTTTGAGACGTCGATATATCATAATTTAAGCTCCGACTGTCAATGTCGAAGATATAACGAAAACTGTAAAAACCGACCCCTACGTTCGGAAAAAGTTTGTTTTTTCTTTCGAAATTACGGTCTAGTATATATTCACTCAACGAAGTATTATGCGTTAAAAATGTTTTTCATGGTAAATTTTTCGTTAATTTTTTATAAAACTATAGCTCATTTTACAACAAAAACCATGAAAATAAAAATGTCTAACTAAAAAATTCGCTATATAAAAAAAGACGGACATAAAAAAAAACTTATCACCTTGCACTTTATTAAACTAAAATTTAAAACGCTATGAACCTGCGTTCTTGAATTGTTTCTAAAAAGATTTTAATAAATTTTTATTAGACCATAAATAGCAAAAGAAGAATTAAAAAATCCGATTCAAAAGGTGAAAATTTGTTGAATTTTCCCAAATTTTTTCCAGAATTTTATATTTTGATTTACATGTTTTTTTTTGTGGTAGGATGAGCTTATTTATTTTTTTAAATTTACCATAAAAACATTTTGAATATCGTAAAAAATTCATAGCAAAATACTTCAATGAGTGTATGTACATATATTACAAATTTAGCTTAAAATATTATTATCTACTAGAAGCACTTACCGATTGACGCCTCATGATCGGACATATCCGATAAACTGCACATCGGCGGTGGTATGTCTTTGGTGCCATCATCGGGCTCTTCTTTGATGCGGATATTTGTCTAAAATATATAAAATAAAAAGATAAAAATTAATTAAACCAAAAGCATGCAAAATATTTAAATATTCGTGAAAGCGCCCTCTAGTACCGCGTTCTAGTGAGACGCTTAAAAAAATTTAATATTTTAGGCAAAAATATTTTTTTTCTTCATATATTTATTTTTACCGGCAAAACTGTTGATTATATAGAAAAACGTTATATGAACAGATTAAAGGAATTGTAATTTTTAATTTTCTTAAATTTGTTTGAGCAAAATCGGACTAGTGGTTCTCGAGTTATGTCAAAAAAAGACCACCAAAGGTGACAATTTCCCCTATATGATAGTTATATATATATCTCGATTCCTAGACGTGACCCAGCGAAACGCCGGGACACGTATAACTTCTTTTTGACCGATATAACATTTCCCGTTGGTTTTATCCCATCCCGATTTTGACTGTCGCATAGTGAAATCGGACTTACATATACACTGAAATAAATACCCACGACTATTAAATATTTCAGCAAATATTGAAATATTCATTAAAATAATATAACGACAATAACAACACCAGCACAGAGCAGTAGCCAATGCCGCTGATATGGCCATTAAAGCATCTATTAAGTGTAATTAAAATGAGAGCTAACCCAGTACGTGACCACAAATTTTATTACTACGCTACAAATCTGATAGCCCCCAGTATGGTACATGTTTGGCTGTTAAAAAAAAAAAAGCAACCATGGTGTGTTAGTACACAATTGTACATACATACATACATATATTCCTACATCTGTTATTATATAGCAAAATTTATTTATACTTGAAAACGTTTTGTAGCAAATGTTTGAACGCAAAAGTGTGTGAATCCTAGTGATAAGTAGCATACAAGCAAATCTATATAATGAATTAAATTGTCGCTTTGTCTATTCACAAATAAACCACTTTTACCCAATTTATTACACTGCATTAAAAACAGAATTTTATAAAAGATGTACATTAGGGTGACCCAAAATTTTGTTCCCCCAGAACTGACGAATATCAAAAATAATATGTATATGTATTTACCGTGGGAAAAATTATTTTTTTTTCGTAAAATTGCTATTAATTCGTTAAAAATAAATATTTTTTGACCGAATAATACTATTTCCCTTCAAAAGTCTTCAAAAAATAATACTATGATGCCTATTTAACTTAAAAATGTTACTAAGTGTGTTTTAATAAACGATAATCATATCTGTTATATACAAAAATTAGTTATTTTATGTTGTCATAACCACATCACGCTCAATGTTTTTTGTAGGTTTATGGTACAAAATTTTGAAAAATAGGGTTGCCAGATATTTGAGAATTTAAAATTGTTTAAAGGCTCAATAAAATAATTAAGTTTGTTCATCAAAACTAAAAGCGTTTGAAGATATTTAAAACTATTTTTTACCTTTATAAAAAAAGGAACAATGAACAGAAAAAATCGAGCACACTGCAAAAAAACCTCATCCAATGAGCTGTTCGTGCGTGATGTGGTTATAAAAACATAAAGCAGCACAAAAAAAATCAAAAAAGTTTATTTTTGGGCCATCCGAATGTACATACATACGTACATATGTGCATAGGAAAGACAACGCAAAAGTAGAATGGCTCAGCGTAGAGCTAGAACTGCACTCGACGTTATCAATTCCACATGCACAAATATGTGTTTAGATATGTACTGTCAATTGGCCACCAACCGACCAGTAGAACAAATATATACATAAATACATCCCCGTAGTAAATGCGGCCGTCCGGGATAACTTCGGGATCCTTTTCAACGGAAATTTCGACTAATACCTCTTTTGGTCGCTTTAAAAGGAATGAAGTGATACATTTTATACGAGCATATTTTTTAAAACAGGCATAAACGAACTCCATGCCTGCGCTAGGCATGGCTGCATTAAAGAGTTTAATGGTACCATTTTAAACCCGAAATGGTATGACAGATACTGATTGCGTTTTGAGAATTAAAAATTGTCGCCAGCTGAGAATCGAACTTTTTGTTTTACTATGCGAATACTCTGTCCCTTATCGCAAAGTAGCAATTGAAATTTTTAAATGATTATTAAGCGGGGACGGTAATCATTATGAGTACAATAATTTAAATCAGCATTTAAACCCTATTTTATGATTTTTATATTTTTCGGGCCACTTTCTATCACCGTAATCAAGGCATACAGAGCAGGGGACTCTCCTACCCTATACGCCTCTTGGTTGGGATGCAAAAGGTTAGAGTATTTGATTTAGATAAACGTATATAATCATGATTTAGACGCTACAACCTAGCCAGTATTTTTAGTTAAGTATAAGCGACTAAAATTAAGTTTTAGTACGCAATATTCCGAAAGATTTTTCTTGCAAGTCCAACGCGAAACATTTGGGAGAGAAAAAATTTCCCCACAGCGATCGTTCAGAAAGGATTTGTTTTTGTTTTGCAAGTTCTGGAAATCCGTTGGAACAATCAGAAAAGATGTATTTTCTTTATCAGAAACAAAAGTTATACTCAAATACTATTTTATACCATTTTACCACGGCACCCTTAATTACTTTGTTCGTTTCCCCAATTACGATCGCGAATAACCCCATTTCCACGGGCACATTCTTAATTTGACAGTTCTCTGTCTCTGTGTTTTGTTTTTTCTTTGTCCGCTACAAAATTGATGCAAAATGTACACTCTAAAAAATCTTTGTTAAAATTTGCGCATATTAAGATAGGTAACTAGTTTCCTCCCTTAATGAATGCAAATTTACACACCGTGTTAATTAAATTAAACACTGCTTGCTTACTTTTACTTATCATATGTGTGGCGCAGAACAAATTTCAATTTTTTTTTTTTTTGAGTTGTAAACATTTATTGTTCACAATTTTACAGTTTACACATAAAATGTTTATAGTTTCCTCTAAAAAAATTTCGTTTAAATTTACGCATATAAAGATAGGTAGCCAGTTTCCTCTCCCAGTGTGTGTAAAATTAAACACTGTCTGTTTACTTTTACATTCCAAATTTGTTACGTAGCGCACACAAGGGGTGGGTTTTGGGGTTAAATTTATTATGATTTAAAAAATTTTTTCCATTTTTTGTGCGTCATTTTGTAAGATTTTTTCTTTTTTCTTGAGACTTCTTTAAAGTAACTGCGAATGAAAACATTGTCCTAAAAATATGCAATGCATACTCACTTACTGTTGCTTTTTACACTTTACAGCCTAAAAAAGTTTACCACTGGTATGTACTTAACAAGCATTCGAAGATTTAATTTGCTCACTTGGAATTCGTTCCACCAAAATTAGCTACATGATAAAAACACAAGTTCAGTTAAATTTTCATTATTCGAAGTATTAATAAAAAAATATAAACCAGAAATCGACGAAAATGAATACAAAAGTGTAAAAAATTTCATTGAATTATTTAATTTATTTATATTAAAATTATTTTGTAAAATTTTGTATTACTTTTGAAAGTTGAGTGCATCTTATGTTTGTAGAACTTTTCATTAAAAAAGTAATTTCTAAGCAAAAAGCAAAACCAAATCCAATTCTCATATACAAATTTAGGAGTACCATTAATTTTTTCATGATTTAATAATCGGATCTAAACCAAATTACGGGAGCCTTAAGGTACCTTCTTTCCGGTAAAAAAAAAATCGGAATCGGTTCCTCGGTCCAAAGTATTTTTTCTTCTTTTATGTATGCCACCGCATTACTTTGGACCACGTTAATCGATTTCTATATTTTTTTTTAAGGAAAGGTGGTACTTCCGAGGTAGTCCCATACTAATTTGATTTAGATCCAATCGTTGAAGAATATGGAAATCGGTTTCGTATTTGTTTGCTTATTCTATTTTTCAAAGTACTGGTTGCTGTTGTTGTTGTAACGGCATACAAAATCCGCAAAAAAGTTTTTGGAAAGTATTGCTGGAGTGAAAAGAAAATATTTTTTGTTTTACAAAAACAATTTGTATTTTCCATAAATAACCAAAAATGTTCTACATACAAAATAATTGATCGTATTTTTGCATTTTTAGCTTTTGTTACTGCTGGGATTTGTCATCTTTATTGACCGCTGACTGGCTTATTTTTACGTATGTATGTATGTATGCACAGAATTATTATTTTTATGTGTATTTGCTCTTGCATACAAACGTATGTATAAGAATGGTTATGACAGCTCATACTTGACTCCGAGCACTAAATCCAATTGTACGTTTGACTCGAACTGCGTCCATTGCACTGTGTTTCGTTAGTGTACGAAGCGTGCCACTTTTTCCAATTTATAACTAGATTTAGGTATTCGTTGGGTTGTTTATGGAGAGAAATTTCAATTTACCTACTAGCTGCATTTTTATCTTTCTACGGGGCCGTTTTCTGAAGTAACCTTTAACTTTAAAGCCCACTTCATACTTAAAGATTGGATTAAAAATAAAGCCATGTCTAAAGTTAAGCATTTCTTGTATCGGCTTTTGACGTATGTATGTTTCTTGGTTGTAAACCAATTTAAAACCGATAATAAAATGTTTACTTTAGACACAATTATAAATTGTCATTATAACTATAATTTATTTTTCAAAACTGCATTGTTAGCATCCCAGAGTAACTCTAATAGTCGTTCTAACATCTCTTTTAATGTTTACTCCACAATTGTTTCATACATTCCCACTGTGCTAAAGTCATCGCTTATGGTGTACTAGCTTTAAGGCCTTTGTCCGATGTTCGTTCTGATGTTGCCATAATAAAAATTTGATAGCAAAGGTCAAACTACCAAGCGAATGTTTCACAAATAACACAATCAAATTTATAAAAAGTTTGAAAACAACGAATGTTACTCTATTTAAAAACTAAGAAGAAAATAACAAGAAGGCTGACGATGAGTTAAATTGGGTTGAGAAATGTTGAACGCAATTGAAGAAACAACAAAACATTTCAATGTTTCGAATTTCATTAGGACAAGGTCAGTATGATAAGAAACAAGTAAAAAAGTCGAAGTTCGGGTGGAGTTG